ACCTGTCCCCCACCATCCCAGCAGGTCAAGCACAGAGTGGGTTCAGGTGATGGTGTGAGGGGAGGAAGGGAGATAGAGAGGGATGATGGCCAAGCTGAAAACTCCAAACCTTCCTGTCCTTACCCCTCTTATTTGATTGCTTTGCTTGAGGGCATTTCTGTCCCTTCTCCCATTTGTTCTCCCTGTAGCTGATACTGAGCTGGCCAGATGATGCTCTGGAGCACAGAGCAGCCAGCATAGGACACTTGTTTTCCTCAAGCACTGCAAGCACAGCCGTCCTGCCCAGCTCTGCCGTGCTCTGCTGAGCACAGCTGGAAGGCAGGGAAGGGATCAGGGGGGCTGTGCAAGGCAGGGGATGCTCCTGGCTGCTCCTGCCCTGCCAGACAAAGGGGCTTTGCCATGGCCATCCCCACATCGCAGTGATTCCCTCCCCCTGAATTTATCCCACTGAGTGCTGGGGACTCCCAGTGTCACCCCCCAGAGCCAGCGGGGCTGCCCAGTGTTTGATGGCTGCTGGACAACACTTGTGGTTTGTAAGCTGGATAGCCTGAATCGTCTTGCCAATCATTAACCTGCTCTTTCAGGGCAAAAGCAGCTCGGTGAGGGTGCCAGGGCAGCAAGTAGGCACCAATGAAATCTCTGGCAGGACGCAAGCAGTGCACGTTACAGCAATTGCTGACACTCCTGCTCTCGGCAGTGCCAGTGTGCTTCCTGCAAACAGAGGGGAAGGGAGTTAATGGGTGACCACAGCAGGGCATCCAGGGTGTCCTTTGCAAGGGTCATGTTTGGGAATTTCCTTTTCCTAGGATTTCAGGTGTGTTTACTATGTGCAGTGCTCTTCACTGACAGTTTCGGGGCCACGTATGGGAGTAGTCTCCAAGTTCTCTCCATCAGCTTATTCCTTGACCTCTTTGTTGCTTATGTGTTAGTTACCCTATTTTTAGAAGACTAATAAAGTACTACAACAAGTAGTACTAGTAATCATAGAGCTATTCTTGTCCAGAAGGATGCAGAAGTGGCTGAACTCACACAGGGAACACGGAATGCTCAGTGTAGGTGTCCCAGAGGCAGCTCGTGGCAGCTGCTCTCCTGATCCCATGCTCTGGCATGAATGGCCTGGTGAGGAGATGACCTGGGAAGATGGCCCCATTTCCACTTGGCAGTAGGTAAGAGGGGGAAAAATTGTTCAAGCTTGACCAAAGTGCTGGTGGGAACATGACTGCTGTCATGAGAAGTTCCTCCTTGGCTCAGATGCAGGGCCTGTTTCTTCTCCTCTCACTGCACTGGGGGCCTCAGGGCCTGAGCTCACATTTAGATGTCTAAATTACAGCTGATGAGGACACCCTTCCCAGCCAGAATTTGCCAGGATCTTTGTGTAGGTCCTGGCCAAGGGCTGATCTCCCTGTTTCCCATTGTAGTCTGGAGATTGGCACTGAAGAGGGTGATTTACTCATCCCTCCAAACTGCCCTCTGGGGGACTCTTTTCTCTTGGCCAGAAAGGTATTTTGGGGGATCTTCTTTTGGCCAGGCTGAAGGTCTCCTTGTGAATCCTATCCCTCAGAGCTTGCAGACAGCATATTCCCCGTGGCTCATCCCTCCACTGGCACTACAGGAGATAATTAGTGCGTGGCTAAGTCATATGTGCTGAGGGTCAGGGAAGACAATGAGGCAGATTTCCCCCGGAGTAAAGAGATGTCATCAGAGTTGCACTGCAGCGAAATGATGGGATCTGTCAGTGACCCTGGCCCTTTCACTGAGCAAACAGCCCCGGGGCAGTGCCTTCCTCCAGAAGAATGGCATGGTCTGGCAGCCAGGCACCCTTGTGAACGTGTAGGGCTCTCCCAGAGCCTGCTGTCCCCAGGAGACACTGCCCAGGAGCCTCCATCCCCAGCTCCTGGGCTCTCTGTAACTCCTTGGAGCCCATCCTTGGTGTGTCTGTAAAATCAACCCGAAGGAGAACAAAGCACCTGCCCTTGGGGACTGCAGGGGGAAGAGCATAACTCCAAAAAGCTGAAATGCAAAGGAGTTTTGTGATATTTCAGGAGATGGTGAAATAGAACAAAACCAGAGCGTTCAGCTTTGGCACACACAAGGTGAGGACTTGTCCCTTTGACATCCTTCAGCTCAGTTCTTCCAGTGCACAGGTATTATCCGTGTTAATTACAAGGCCCATGGTTAATTCTGTGAAGCCAGGTATCTCTCTGGCTGTTTCAGTGCTTCTTGGAATAAGGAAATTCTCTTCACATTTATGCTCCACATGAAAGCTGATCCATATCTCCAACCTTCATCTCCTTTCCTCTGAGTCTGTCACCAGCAGATTATGTAGCACAATGTGGAGACCAAGAGGGGCCACACCATTGGCCTGGGCTATGAAAAGCAAGAAAAAGCTCTTGATTTTGCAAGGAGATCTTACAGTCCAGGATAATTTCAACAAATTGTGATGGCAAAAATAAGCTCTTTTGACAGTACAAGTCTTGTGCATTAAAACAAAGTAATCCCCTTTGGTTTCACCTTGATGTTGCTATGCTCCAAATGCCAACATCACTCTTTATTCTGCTCACATTCCTCTCCAGTTGCAGGTAAAAGACCAAATGTTTCTCACCCTGCTGTTGGAGCTGAGCCCTGTTGTGCCACTGGTAACTCCCTAATTCATATCTTTGGGCCTCACACCTCCTTATCTGTAAAAGATCACATACCTAGGTGATATTCTAATACAGTAGTGGATTTTTCCAGTTGCTCCACCTGGTGAAATGTGCTGTGGACTGAGAGATTGCCATGCAGCCAGTTGTCATTAGCATATCTGTGCTGTGGCAGCTGAAGGCAGCGTGTCCATTGATGCTCTCAGCTCGGCCCTGGCAGAGAGCCCCAGCGTGCTGATGTGCCAGAGTGGTGTTTTCTATGGACTCTGAGTTAGAGCCTCGCTCTTCCAAGCTGCTTTCAGCATGTGCTGCCTGCAATGCAGCCTGTCCGAGAGCTGCTTTGTAAAACAAATGGTGTATTCTGGCAGGGAGCGTTGAGACAGCTGGGAGAAAGTAATGGCTGGGCTGGGAGCAGTCTTGGAGTTGCATTCTGGAGCCATCTCGCCCTTTTGATGAGCATTTCCACACCTTCCTCTATGGAGGGAGTGGGGAATATGCTCCTGAACAAGGTGCTGCAGCCCAGTAGAGCCCACACCCCCCGTCAGGCACTCATTATCCCTCCCAGCAAGGTGCAGGAACCAACAGCACCGGGCAGCAACAGGCACTGGATGCCCTTAAATGTCCTTAAATGCCTCTCTCTTGTACCTGACTCCTGGGGCAGCACGGCAGTGATGCCCAGGGCTGCCACAGGCTGTGCTAGGAGACTTGAGAACATGCAGAGTCAAGGCAGAACCAGCCCTCTTATTTAGGCTCCCATGTTGGAATGTGTTGGCCCAAGTCACTGCACAAATGGGTTAGGGGAGACCTGCAGTTAGAGGGATTCAAGAGGTCTTTGCATACTGTCAACATTCATTTAAAAATTGCTCCACATGTGGCCCCAGCTCATGCAATTGAACACTTGACCGCATCCTGTAAAACAGGGCAGTGCCTGTTTCCTGGGAGCTCTACCAAGTCGTCTCCAAGTGCTTTTAATTTACTAATATAACTAGTGAGATGTTCCTGCTGTGTCCTTGCGCCGTGCCTCCCAGGAGAACAGCTTGTCAGGGTGTTAAAAAGATGCCAGTGTGCTTCTGTGAAGGGCTTCCTATGGACAATGATTTGCACAGCCCAAAGAAAAGCCCTTCTCGGATGACACGTGTAACATTGCAACTATGTCCAAGGCTAATGATTATTTTCCACATAAATGGAATTATATTTGCCTTCAGCAACATCGGCCACTGGGACCTCTTTCTAAAGCTGGCAGCGCTTCCAAGTCTCTAAATAAAGTGACACAGACCTGAGGTAAAAGCTTGGGGTAGAAAGCAGATGGAGATGTTCTCATGAGAAGAGCAGACAGGGTGGGTTTGGATAAGATGGCTAAAATGGAAGAAAATGTAGAAAACCAGAGGGTCTCATGTGGGAGTCCCACTGCGATCTCATGAGTGTGTTGAAGGCTCCTATAGATCCCTGGTAAACTGGGCAACAAAAGGTTTTGCCTGTTAGTCAGAGCCATCCCAGAGAATGAGTCACAGCCAGTGGGAAAGGCGATGCTCCTTCCCGCAGCGCTGCAGAGCTCTGCCGCAGAGCTGCTGCCTCTCCCCTGGAGGAGCAGCACAGCTGGGAGGTGGCACAGGCTGGGGGGTGACACAGGCTGAGAGGTGGCACAGGTTGGGAGGTGACACAGGCTGTTAGATGATGGGCAGTCATCACACCCACCCTCCCCTGCTCTTTCAAGGCACCTCTGGCTGGTGAGATGGGTGTGTGCAGCCCAGCCACACGTCTGTAGTCCATTGGAGCGTGTGTATTTGGGGGACACGAGGGGCTTGCCCTTTTCTCAGGTCCAGATGAAGCTGCCAGTGATATGTCCAGAGCAAACCCAGGGGTTGGATGTGCAGGCTGGAGAGGGGTGAGTCCCCCTGGGCACCGTGGGTGTTCGTGCTGAGTGTGCACAGGGAAGCACTGACTGCTCAGCATCCCTGCTGAGGAAGGTGCAGAACAGGCATCTCCTCTCCACATCTCTGTCTGGCAGGCAGATCCCAGTGTCCAGCAGTAAAGTGGCTTTTTTCCAGTGCGTGTGTGCTGCAGTGCTGGGACTTTTGGTCTCAACCCCTCACAAAACTTCCAGTGTGAATGAGAGCAGTGTCAGACCAAACCACGCTCACAGCAGTGGGTTCAGAGGGAGATGTTCACCTGGCAAATCCTGGGAAGGGACTTGTCCAAACCCTATCCAGGCTGGAGTGCCTGTTCAGCCTGCAAGGTCAGGCAGCCCATCCTGTTAAGCAGGGGTGACCCTCCAGGCAGCATCCCAGGGCCAGGAATGGTTGTCACTTCACGAGGTCGCTCGGCAATCGAGTAAGAAATGTCTGCTGTACTTTTCAACAGAAAGATTTCCAGACTGCAGTTCAACAAGGTGAAGCTTGAAGATGCTGGGGAGTACAGCTGCGAAGCCGAGAACGTTTTAGGGAAAGACACCGCAAAAGGCAGCCTGAATGTGAAAAGTGGTAAGTGAAGAAGCCAGCAAATGTCTCGAGCTGTCTGCCATTCCACAGAAAGGTTCTGCACATGGCCTGTCTTGTATTTTGTTTCATGCTTTCAGGATATCGAGTAAAACAATCTTGGGAGATAAGAAAAATGCAGCTTAGCATAAATGTTTATCTTTGTTATCTGTCACTGGCAATGTGGTTAATTTACATTTTAAATAAACTTACAGTCTATGTATTTTTTTTTAAATGAGTAAGGAGGAAAGAAAGCTGGTGGGCTTGATGTTTTCGTTTTTTAAAGAATTTCTGAGAAGCAAAACTCACCAGAAGACGAGTAATTAGACTATAGCTTTGTGATGAGTGAAGTTGCTTCTGGTTTTCATCCTAGAATGTGTGCTCCATCTCTTAGAGCTCAGCGGATGGAGTCTGAGGTTAGGTGGTTTTATTATTATCTTGGTCATAATAATTATATTGCTTAACACCATGGTTTGGATGCTCCCTCCGGCTCAGAAAGTCCCTACAGTGGCTGCCAGAAGCTGGGAGGGCACGGCTAGGGAGGGGGTGACTGTATTTCCTAAGCTCTTCCTCCTGCCATTCACAACGGGCACTGTGGCAGCCTGGGCTTGGAGCGCTGGGTTCTGGCTCTGGGCTGTGCTGGGATCCAATTTTTTGTTCTCTCACCAGCCTTATCCCAGTGTGAGGGAAGGTAGCTTTCTCCTGCTGCTTTCTGGCAGTATTTTCTCTCCTAACCTCAGCGTGTTTGCCATACTGAATCTTTTGTTCTGTGAAGCTGCATTGTCACACAGCTTCCCCCTTGGTTATCCTGCCTGTTCAATCCCAGTGCTGGCAGAGTTGGAGCAAGGCCACCCATGCTTACAACTCCCTGCCCTCATCCTCCATGTCTGTGGACTCAGCCCTGCTGGGTTTATTTCCAGTTGATAGGAAAGGTGTCCTGAGTAAGAAACTGAGGCAGTGCTTTCTTTTTTTTTCTTTTTCCCCCTGGCTCACGCTCTGGCTGTCCCAATCCACATAAACTGCTCCTGTTTGATGGGAGCTGCATGTGAAACCTCCCTGTCTGCCTCCTCTGCTGCCCCTTCCCCATCACCAGCACCCCCCTGGCCAGAGGAGCAGTGTGGTTGAGCAGTGCCTGCTGCAAGGCTCTGACCTGCACACCGTGATTGCCAAAAAATTGGGTATTTAAATCCACCAACACAAAGTGTGCAACATAAACAGGCTAACACTCAGAGATGTTAGTTTAGTTCTTTTCTGCTAGATTTTGCATCTTTTTCTTGCAGCTCAAGTTCTCAGACATTCTTAATTGCAGTAACTTTTTATAGTCAGTTCTACCCCTTTCAACTCCATTAACCCTTTAATTCCCCTCATGAATTTTGGTGTCAATCATAATGATGGGAAATATTATCAAAAGAACGCAGGAAATTGAGAGGTAAAAGAGACTAAGTATTGGCAATTGGATGTGCCAGGTAAATGCACACCTGGGGGACTGCAACCTGCAGGAAGTCACGCTGAGTGGCAAGGACCACTCACACCTGAGCTGCCCAGAAATGTCCTCAGACCCAAAAAACCATGAAAGACACACAAAGACCTGGCTGTGGATGTGGTGGATTCCCTGCCTGGATGAATCCATGTTCTCAGCTGCCTTGCCCCTCTGCCCCTGGCTCTCTGCTCAGCTGCAGGCACACCTTGCTGCTGTTTGCAGAGCACTGCCAGCACAGCAGGGCCAGCTGCAGCCCCCTGCAAAGGAAGCCGAGGTCATGGTGATCCCTGGAGGCTTTTTTGGCTTTTTTATCCCTTTGCACTCTTTTTTCCTCTTTCTCCTGGAGCTACCCAGAGTTCAGCAGCCTTCCCCAGTATGCAGGAGCTGTCCTGGAGTGTTCCTCTTCCCTTACTGCTGTGCCTTCTTGGGCTCTTGTGAGCTTTCCTCACTTCTGCAAGCTCCCTTCTTCTGTGATATCTTTCAGTAGAAAACTCCTCAGGGCATCTGAATCCACCCGTGTGTTGTCCCCTGTTTCTTCTCCCCCAGGCTCCTTACACTGATCCTCTTGTGGCTTCCATTGCAAAGTGCTCTTTGCTCTATTCCAATACCACTTTTCAGTTTCAGAAAAGCAGCTTTTCAGCCATACAGATCTGTTGCAAGTCACCAAATCCACCACATCTTTAGAGAGAGTGGCTGCAGAGCAGAGACAGGCATTAGAAAATGCCCATCAGCCAAACCCTCACCTCATCCTTCCTCTACAATTCCAGTATTTCCACAAAACTCCCAGCTCAGAAATAAATGCTTTTGCATTGAGAAACTTTGTGAGGTTGTTTATTTCTGAGGAAATGCTTCTGGACTTAGTCAAAATATACTGTGCTTTGGTTGTGTTGCAGATTTTTATGACTTTGAAGTAAATTAGATGCTTTCTTAGAAAAATGTCCCATTTCCCAGTTCTCATTATTGAATATTTTAATGTTGATATCACACGGCCATGAGGGCACAGGTGAGATGTGACTGTTTCAGATTCTTTTTTTCCTCAGAAGATTTCTAGGCATCTCCTCAACTTCCCGGCCCCTTATTAAACACTGCAGAAAAAAAAAAATCAAGTTGTAGAAAAAATTCTTTCTGCTTCTAGCTTTCTGTGGTGGTCCCACCCCTGTGTCCAGCAGGCAGGCTCCTGGGGCTTTCTCTTTTGTGAATCCAGAGGGTGTGAGGGACTTCTCCAGAGGTGCTGGTGCTGCCAGTGGGGTTGAGTAGAGCTGGTGTCTGTGGGCATTGGGGTTCCCAGTGTCCTGGTTAAAAAAGAGGAAATCACGACCTGTGCTTGTCTCCCCTATTGCCTGGGGTCTTGGCCTTCATCTGTCCCGTGTTCCTCCACCTCTTGTACAAGAATTAATTTGTGCTGCACAACTTCACGTGGTTTGGAGGCTCTTCAGAAAATCCCACCTTTTCTTCAACTCCACATTTTCCCCACTGTCGTGTCCTGCCATCCCATCTTGGCGCTCTTGTGGCCATCAGGGCTCAGAAAACCTCCCACGGTTTTGCTCCATCTCCTGCCAGGTGAACCCTGAGCCATTCCTGCCTCTTTGTTGTGACACGAGGCCCTTCACAGGGAGGGGACATCGTGCCCTGTGCCATCCCCTGCAGGGACACTCCTTGTCCTGCCTCTGTCACCCCAATGCCCTGCCCTGAGCCAGCACTAACACCTGGCAGCCCCCAGCCTGTGTCCCCCAGCAGCACCTGCCCCTCTGCTCCTCCCCACAGTAGCTAAGCCCACCCTGCTCTGCTCTAAAGAGATATTTTGTTCACTACTTTCTTACCTTAATTTCCCCAGGAACAACGAAAGCACCACAAGTCTTACCAGCCTCAGAAACTAAAATAGTTGTTATGGAAGAAGAGTGTAAGTACCTCTCCCCCACTCCCCCCACACAGCTGCTTTCCCCTAATTTGTTTGTTATTATGAGACATTTTGCATAAATGCTTTATTGCCTCCTGGAATCTTCTTTAATTACTCCTTCTGTCTGATTTTTCCCAAAGCCACTGATCTTTCCTTCCCTAGATCTTTAAAAGAAATCTGATTTATATTGCTGGTGTCTATCTTAGAGAGGGAGAATTTGATAACTATTGCAATGGCAGCTTGAAGAACATGCTACTTAAAATTGCAGTTGAAGTTTAAGCATTCCCAGCTCTTTCAGTACGTGGAATTATTGATACTTGCAAGATGTGCTTGTTATGGCCTTTGATTTAACAGGGTTTTCTTTTATCACTTTGTTTTTGTGTTTGGGTTTGGGGTTTTTTTGAGGATAGTTGATAAAACCAAAACAGGATGTAGGAACAAGAAAAAAGGCATGAGTCTTCTAAGCATAGTAATAAGAAAATTGTGGAAAATCCATCCATGCCCTGCCATCCCATTTTTTTTCTGAGTCTCCAGAAAGCAAGAACAGATTTCCCCAAATGCTTAATTTGATTTAATGTGGCTGAAATTCTTTTTAGCATTCCCTCCTATTCAGTTGTCCCCAAAGAAGTAGAAAATGGGCACAGAGCAATAAAAATCAAGGAAGGGATACAAGTGTAGATTAGAATCCTGGTGCCTGGATGTTGTCTCAGCAATTTGTGGTGGAGGGGGTTGTGTCTGAGTCAGGGGGTCTCTCCCCAGTGGGAGCCCACCAGGATCGTGGCAAAAGCCCTGGGAAGCCAGGACCAGGCAGGGATTTTGGGATCTGTGCTGTGTTTCCATCCCAGCTTCAGATGCCCAGAGCTGAGAGCACAGCAGGCTGTGCCTCACTGTTGGCAATTCTGCCCTGCAGATTTTATGGGGATGTTTCCTCCTTTGAAAGCTGAGTCTTTTATGTTCTTAAAAGAAATCTGATTGCAGCCACAGCAGGCACTGGCCAGGTATTCTTTAAAAGCTTTTCTGATTAGAAAACTGCACTTAAAATGTGCTCTTGTGTAGTGCTTAGCCTTGGACTGCACTAGAGACACCAAGCTGAGATACAGCATCATTAATGCCATGGCCACACCACCTTCCCCAGGATTTTTCCTTTGTTTTTACCAGAAGAGATCCATGCTACTTATTTGCATCACATTAGATAAATGCTATTTTCTTAAAAGCCAAATCTCAGAAAGGAAACACAGAATTTCCCCTTTTTGGAAAACTTTCCTCTGTGGGTCATCACTCTTTTGTTCTTTTTCTCTAATGATGGGAAGAGATGGCAAAGTCCCCAGAGTTAAAGTTGTAACTCACTTTTTCCTTCACACTCCTTTTTTGCAATATCTCCTAAGTGTTATCTGAATAACTCAGAATCTCTCTGATTTTTGTGATGATTGATGCTGTATTATAGAATTGTGTGCAGCATATGGGGAGGTGATGAAGATGTGAGGTGGGATGATCTGGAGAGCAGACAAGTATCTCATTCTTGTAAAAGTCTTGCATTTCTTTCCAATATCTGCATTCAGAGTCACCTGTAGGTTGTCCCACTCTCGTTGTTTCACTGAAATCTTGTCAATCACTTGCTGGATTTTAAACAGTACCCAGTACCTGGTATGTGAATAACATGAGGTTCCACGTGCTGCAGTAGCCTCATTCACGGTGAAAATTTGACTTTGTTTTGTGCTTGTCACAGGCTAAGGTTGTGCAGTTGGGTGGTCACAGTGGCTCAGCTCACAGGCAAGAACTTGCAGGGATGTGGTAACTTGATCGTGTGCCCTGCTGCAGAGAGAAAGGTCCTTTATGCTCATTTCAACATCCAGAAAATCCGAACGGTAACGTGATCCTGGCACGGTGCAGTGTGAGGAGCTAAACAAGGCTCAGGAGTCTGTGGCTGTGCTGGGTAAACAGGACAGGAACAGTGTCAGCATTTAGCAGAATTCTGGTGGAGGCAGAAATGGAAGAAGCAATCTGGAGAGCATTCTGAGATGGCAGGTTTATGCCAGAAAAAGGCAGTAAAACCCTCTCAAAGTTTAATTTTAAAAAGGTAAGGCAATGTTTGGAGTCTCTGAGAAGGTCGGGTAATCCCTTGTGCCTGTTTTCTGCTGTTGAGTTCTCCTCTAGCTCCTTCCCTTGACTTCAGCAAGCAGAGGTGAAGCCCTGAGGGCAAGGAGAGGACACAGGCCAGGTGGAGGAAGCGTGGTTTGGGTAATGTCAGGGTACAGGAGGATGTGCCAGAGATGGGCAGGGGCTCCAAACCAACATGTGGATCATTGCAGCTGCTCACCTGGACTCTGCCTGTGCTCCTTGCTCCCTCTGTAGCTGGGGGAGTGCCTGGCTCAGTGCTTCTTCAGCCTCTGTGGGCTGTCAGTGCCCTTGGCTGAGGCTGCTCTGCAGCAGAGAGAGGCTCAGGGTCCCAGGAGAAGGTGAAACAGGGAGAAAGAGCAGAACAGGCAGTGCTGAGTTGTGCCGGGAGCAGGAGGATTGAGGGGAAATATGAAGCACCTGAATGAAAGCTGGGCTGTCTGGGTTTAGTTTTGGGGCCTTTATTTCATCTGCTGGGGATCACAAGCTCTCCCTCGAGTCCCTCTAGAGACCCCTGTGGGAAGGGTAGCTGAAACAGCTCTTTTTAATCCAGTTAAATCTAACTCTCCACACACCAGTTTGGGTCCACAGATTTCATAGCTGCCATCTTGGTGATGCCATTGGACTGTTTGCAGCCTCACTGGTGTAGGCTCATTGAGGCAATCCCTCTCAATTTAATCCCTTCCCTGATGCCTACCATGGCTGGGTGTTGGAAATGTTTTCCTCACTTTGTGTCTGCCAGGTGAGCTCAGCCTGATGGACCTGCACGATTGCAATGGCTGTGCTGTGGTTTGTGGGTTACACAGGAACATGTGCTATGTGGTTATGGTTCTGTTGCCTGGAAAGGATGACCTGGGACAGAGACTAGACAGAACAAAAGGAGTAAAATTGGGATTTATTGAAAGGATTCACCTTGAGCAGTACAAGAGCCCGGCCAGGGCTACACCCAAATCAAATCCCAGCTGGATCCTGGGCACGAGTTTTACACTTTTATCAGTTTTGGTTCATCTGCACATTGGGGTCAATGATCCACCCACAGCCCCAGGCTATGAAGTCTCAGCCCCTGCCTTGCCCCCTTTCCCTCGCTGCTGTTTCTGCTTTTTGGGTGCCAGTTGTCCTTGATTGTCCAGCTAGAAAGGAATTGTTTTGTCTGAGTCCCCTGTGAAGAGAACTCACTAACACCTAGTATGAAGTTTCAGAGTTCCACACTAAGCAGCAGAGATTCTGAAAAATAAAAGAGCTAAAACCCAAGGCATCAGTTCAGCCAACCCTCCAAACCTGCTCTCAAATGCAGTCTGGCATGGCCTTTACTGGGTGACTGTGGCAGACGTGCTGTGAGTTGGCTCAGGTCAGGTCAGGTCAGTCCCTGGCTCTCCTGGAGCTACCAGAGCTGCAGATGTGAGCACAGTGCTCTGGGTTTGGAGCTGAAGGGTGTCCAGCCAGCCCAGAGCACAGGCTGAGCAGACAGAAAACCAGCCCTGTGAACAGAGCATTTTCAATACTGGACTAAAAATAAGTCCTGGCGTGGTCTCTGCTCAGATAATTTAAAGCCCATTTACTGGAGGTGTGGTTGTCATTGAGCGGAACCTGCACGCACGCAGCACAGAGCCCTGAGGTGAACGTGGTGATCTCACTGCCAGTCTGCAGAGAGCTGTGTGGTGCCTGGCAGCTGCCAGATCCTGCTCCTTGCTCGTTTTGCACGCTGTGTATTTTTTAAGTAGTCACACCACTGCCACTCGAGGCGTGGTGTAGAGACAGGCAGTGACTCTAAAGGCAAAGAGGGGCAGGATGAAGAGTGGGGTGGGAGCTGATGTCCCCTGGGAGCACTGAGGCTGAGCCCAGCCTTCAGAACTGGGCTCTGGACCAGGGGATCTGCTTTTCTGGCTCCATCCTGGGATCCTGGTGTGTTGCTTCACTTCTTGGGCTTCAGCTGCCCTGCCCGCGAAGCTTTCATGCTGGCATTGGCTCTGTGAAAGGATTTTTAGGTCGCTGAACAAATCCCCTCATTGAAGTATCATGTTGCTGCTATTACAATTGATGATGGGGATTTGGGAAAATGAAATGCTGCACTGCTGTCATGTGCATTTTCAGACCCCTGTGGTAGAGAAGAGCATAGGAAGGGCTCCCTCGTAAAGCTGCAGAGATCATTCCAGGGGAGCAACTAGAAGCTTGGCAATAACACAGGACTTTGCCCCTGCAATAACTGCCTGTCCCATGGAAACAGGCAGCCCCTGAGTGCTCAGAAACCTTGAAACTTGTTTCTTTAGTGAAGCCCCTGAACAGTGCAGATGGGAGAGGTGGGAAAGCAACCTGTGCTGTTTTGGTCAGCAGCATCCGATGCTCCAAGATGAGTGCCTTGCAGTCTGGTGTTTGTATCTTGGGATGAACTCCTGGTCTGCAGCTATTGATCCTAATGATCCCCTCGGGAACTGGCAACATGATTCCAGCAGGATCTATTTCAGTAAAATGCAGGGGTAAATATTTGGTCATTTCCAAATGAATAAACACACAGGAGCAGAATTTTTACGAGCTCCAGAGTCCCCAGTCTGCCATCAGGCAAGCTCCAGTGTGCACAGGCCCTTCTGATTTTATGTAGAGATAGCTGCAGGGAGCATCCAGACTCTGTTCAGGTTTATGGAGAGAGAAGGTGTCGTATCAGACACACAGAAATCTGCCACAGAGGGAATGGTGAGGATCACCAGCCCCTCTATGTATTAATCAGTGTAAATCATGGATTTAGTGTGGCTCACTTCAGGATTACAGCACTCCAACCAGGGAATATCTTGGCCAGACACCTTCTCATCCATGTTCTTCTAACAAGCAGTTGGATGAACTCTGTTGAGAGGAACCTCAGCCATTCTGTGTTTTATCAGTAAGTACATGAGGCA